TAGTCTGTGAGCCTCCAATTAACTACCAGAAAACCGGAAGTGGTGCTGTGGCTCAAAGTGGTAGAACACTAGCCTTAAGCAAAAAAGCTCAGGGACAGTGCCTAGGCCCTGAGTTCAAGCCCCATGACTGACAGACAAACAAACAAACAAACAAAAAACCCAACTTGAGATCCTCCAGCCTCAGTCTCCTCGGTGCTGACATTACAGATACAGTGTGTGCTACCGTATCTGGCTCATTCATAGGTTTCTGAAAACTTGAGTCTCTGCCCATAAAATAGTGCTTAAGTAGAAAATTGAAGCTCTATGTGATTGAATGTTTGCTGCTTCTTTGGATTTTGTAATGATTGTTTATTTAAAATTGGAAAACAGAGGTAGAATATCATTCTCTTTGGATCAGGTTAGAATCCTGTTTGCGTCCTCAACGAGGGGTAAGAGGCACAAGAACTTGGTAAATGTGTGTGTGTAATTTTTGAGGTGGTGCCATTCTTTTTTCTTCCCCCACAAAATTTCTTGACAAAAGATCTCTGCATAAAAGCATGTGTTCTCAAGACTTGTTTCCAAGAGAGAGAACACCCTGACAAATGTCACAAAGATTCATGACTATTACAAATGACTCTATTATGCATTTTGCATTGAACAACTTGGAGTTCTTGCAGGTACTATTCAATTAAATATAGAAGTTTTTGATTTGCACTTATTACTAGAAATAGAGCTTTTATGTAACTTTAATTTGAGACATTCTATTGTTTGGGAACACAGCTGTGCAGGTTGTCATTTAGGGGATAAAGAAGTTATTGATGCTGTATTTGATTGTCACTGATGGGGAATGAGCTTCCTCCCACCTTGAACCTGACACACTCTTCTTTGATGTTGGTTTTGGATAGAAACATCAAGACTGCAAAAGTGCAAATCTGTCGCTGATTCTCCAGCTTCTGTGGCCCTCCAGACATCCTTGCCAACTGCTTCGTCTCCACCTGCAGTCCTAACCCTGGGCCAGAAACTAGAAGCATCCTGGCAGGGCATTCAGAGACCCAGCTTCTAAGACTACACATGTTCCAGCCAGAGTGGAAATTGTTCTCTCAAGTGGTACTGGGCATGGGTCTGGATCCCGAGGCCTTGTGCTCCCATCAGACTCCCCTGTCAGGATTCAGAGGTCTCTTAGGTCACCTGTCATTGAGGCCTAATGTCCAAACCAAGCCTCCTTGAGGGCTTCTTGACTGGTCATCTGACTGTTACCCTGCTGGCAGCTCTCTGATGGCAGCTAGCTCCTAGAATGTCCACTGTGACCCATGTTCGCCACAATAGGAAGTTGCCAACTTCTTACTGTTTACACCATACTTTATCCATCAACTGGAACTAGCTCTGTCCACGGCCTGGTTGATTTTCCATCTCTGGCCCACCCTAGTGAATGGGGGCATTTTTAGGCCATTCCCTCCTGTCCCACTGGGAGTAAGTATTCATCTGGGTGGCCCTCTCAGACACAGGCTAGCCATATTCATCCTTTAGATGCAATGCGAAAATCTTTCCAAGAAAGGATTTGAATGCTCAGTTCGTATATTTTTTGCATGCTGCTGCACTTGGAAGATTAAAGACTAAGGTAGGAGGCAATTGCAATGATAGTTGGAGCTGTAATTTTGAAGAACAAGTGGTAGATGCTATGGGATAGAGGTCAGGGGGTCAAGGCAGCTGCAGAATGGGGTCACTGAGAAGAGAACTGGGATAAGAACCTAACACACACACACACACACACACACACACACACAAAATCAAACAAGCAGGACATGGTATTGTGTGGCTGTAATACAAACTACTCAAGAGTTGGGAGAAGAGGACTGAGGCTAGCCTGAGCAAAGCTAGCAAAGTCCTGTCTAAAAAACAAAATACAAACAAAAGGGCTAGGGGGATGGTTCAAGTGGTAGAGGGCATGCCTAGAGAGAGCAAAGCCCTAGACTCAATCTCCAGTATCAATATACATGCAGACAAAAAAAAGAATACAGAGCAAAAGAAAAAAAGCAACAGAATGGTACCATAGAATAAAAGGTTAAATAGTTTCGTCCTTTGTGAGCTAGCATGGCTCCTATGTGATGGCAATCTCTCCCCCTCCCCACCTCCCTGCCCTTCCAGCAGAGTACATCTCCCTGCTCCGACAGTATCAGGCTTGGCCTAGGGACATGCTCTGGGCTCACAGTGCACCTCCTGCCCTGAGTCTGGGTTTGGCCAGGTAACTTGATTTAATCACTAGGATGTCAGCTGATCTGGTACAGTGTGTTTCTTGCTTGCCTTTTTCTTCTATATTTAAAAACATTTCCTATTAGCCTCGATTAGTTGTATAACGGGGCTACAGTTCTGCATGGCCATAGATGCATACGCTGTACCTTCTTCCTCCACTATTCCCCTTCCCAAACCATTCATCACAGGCTTCTTCATTCCATTTTCACACATATATATCAAGTGTTTTTTTTTCTTCTGGTTCCAGTTCTGGGGCTTGAACTCGGGGCCTAGGTACTCTCCCTAAGCTTTTTGTTTGTAGAGCTAGTGCTCTACCACTTGAGCCACAGCTCCACTACCATCAAGTATTTTGACCCTCTCATTCACCTTCTTCTTCCCACTAGTTCCCCCACCCTGGACAGGTCCTGCTGTCCATTCCTATTCTCCTTTTTGTCATGGGATGCTAATTGTTCAAAGGAGTTTCATACCATGGGATTTCACACATGTGTATACAATAATTTAACCAGTTTGAACTCCTCCTTAAGTCTTTGCCTGTACCAAAGAAGATCCTTCCCTGGGGAGCCTCCCCTTCCACAGAGGCTGAGAATTGCAGGAGCAGGAGTATACATATGAGACCACCCCTCCTGACACAGCAGGAAGTCCAGAGAAGCTATGTGCAGTTTAAACCAGTCAGATCCAGCTAATCCTTAGACACACAATAAATCATCAATTGCAGTTAAGATCACTCTGAAGCACTGACAAACTAATATGGACAGCATCAAATATTGCATGCTAATTTATTAGTATTTTAGGACTATATAAAAACCAGTGTAGGGGCTGGGAAGGTGGCTCAGTGGTAGAGTGCTTGCCTTGCATGCATGAGGCCCTGGGTTTGATTCCTCAGCACCACATAAGCAGAAAAACCCAGAAGTGGCACTATGGCTCAAAGTAGTAGCCTTGAGCTGAAGAGGGACAGTGCCCAGGCCCAAAGTTCAGGCCTCACAACTGGCAAAAGAAAAAGAAAAACAAACAAACAAAAAAACAGTGTAGGTAGAAGCATTTGGCCAAGAGTATACCTCTCCTGGGTAGGGTCATTTACTGAGACTATGATTCAGTACCTTTACAAATAAGAAATAAGAGAATAGAAGTCCAAAATCCTATAACAGACAGACTTCCAGTTAAGATGATCACAATCCAATGGAATTTTAATGCAGCTACCAAAAAATACTATGGACAGGGCACAGTAGTTCACATCTGTAATCCCAGTAACTTGGGAGACCGAGATCAGGAAGATTATGGTTCAAGGCCAACCTGGGCAAAAAGTTAACAAGACCCAACCTCAATAAATAAGCCAGGAATCAGTTGGTGTCCATAATCCCAGCTATATAGGTGGGAAAATCACGATCCAAGGTTGGCCCTCTGCAAACGCAAAAGATCTAATGTAAAGAAATAACAAAGAGCATAAAGGCTGAGGCTCAAGTGGTAGATCCCCTGACTAGCAAACACAAGACCTTGATTTCAAACCTCTGGAGAACCAAAGAAAGAAAAGAAAATGCTATTAAATAACACCCCATATCTGAGTAGAAGCTGTGTAAAACAGAATACCGTGATGAGGACTCTAGTGTGGAAAGACTTACGTTAAAATCCACTCAAGCCTGTAAAGTCTCTAATAGAGAAAGTAGTCTGACCATGGGCTTATTCGTCAGTTCTGGGGTTTCAGAAAAAAAGGATATTGCTCTGAAGCATGAAAGAGAAAATTCAAGAGAAATAAAGGGAAGAATTGAATCGTTTTTAAATGGCCAAGAGCAAGGGTGATATATGCTGCAGCATAACCAGGAAGTCTTTGTTTACACTGTTATCCTATGTAGTTATTAATAACACTTCCTTCCGCTTGAAACGGGTGCTGGGCCAAGTAAGATGTAGATAAATGAAAGGTAAGACGTTCATGGGCTGTCAAAGCCAGCTGGCTGTTTGCCACAGAGTGTGGAGGTTGTCACGTTCTGTACAGCACAATGCCTGCCAGGATGGTGTGAAGTGACTGAGACCAACAGCCAGGGTCTCTCAGGCTAGCACCAAGCCTCTCTGAACAACCCTGAAGGTTTTCTCTAGGAATCTTGCCTGAACTACAGGGCGCCCTCTTTTGTGGACTCTCAACAAGAGTTAGAGAATCAGCCCAGGTGCCTATTGACAGATGAATAGACAAAGAAAGATAGAAAATTGAGGTTTATTTGGCCATAAAGAAGAATGAAATTATGCCATTTTCAGGGAAATGGATGGGACTGGAGCTAATTACATGAAGCAAAATAAGCCAGACTCAGAAAGACAAGTATCAAAATCGATTTTCTTATATGAGGAACCTAGATTTTAAAAAGAGAGAGACATGGAAGTGGCGCTGTAGCTCAAGTGGTAGAGCACTCGCCTTGAGCTGAAGAGCTGAGGGACAGCGCCCAGGCCCAGAGTTCAAGCCCCACGACCGACAAAAAAAAAAAAAAGAGAGAAACATGGAAGTAGAAGGGAAACTATTGGGAAGGGGGAAGGGAATCTGTAGGAGGGAGAAGGGGAGAGGAGAAAATGACGGGGATATGAATATATATGATCAAAGAACATTGAACACATGCATATGAAGATGTTACAACGAAACACTTAAAATACACTAAAAATCTAAATTTGAAAGAAACTATCCCAAAGGAGTGAATAGAAACATAAGTAACATTCCTATTCTTATTATTTCTGCCACATCAACTCAATGTGCAGAAATGCAAGCATATAGAATAAAAGCTGAGTTTCCTTACCCACACAGACGCCCAAATCGTTTCCTGAGTTCCATTTGGCTTTCCCAAAAACCCTGCAGAAAACACATACTACAGTAAGAATGATTGAGCAAACTTTCAACTTCTCAAATTTACTCAGGAAAAAGAACTCTAGAAAGGCAAGGGCAAAATTACATAAACCATAAAAAAGAATTCAAGCTATATTGCTTTCAAGTACTGCAGAATATTGGATAAACAAGAGGCTTTAAAAAATATTGCCAACCTAAACTCTTCAGCAGCTCCATTTTAATGGGAGAAAGAGATCACTAGTGCTTAAACTATTGTGCCTAACTGCTACTAAAACATGCGCAGAACCTCCCCGCCTCCCCCCTTCCCCATTAATGTGGCTCAGATCATTCTTTGGCCAAGTTCCTTTCCTGGTCCCTAAATGTGTAAACTTCTGAGTCTATCAGAATTATCACCAGTTAAGAATTCTTTCCAACTAAGCTACATTTTTAACTAAAACCAACATATTCAAAGTATAACATTACTTTAGATTGACTCCACATAGGATAAAACATGGGCATATTTTCATAGTGGAGTTTACCAGAAGGTATATGTGGGACAAAGTGGGTGGAGGATCAGAAAAATTCTTGTACTGTGAAGGTGGCAAATGCAGGGGACACTTGAGGACATCACATGAGTTGGGGCTCCAAAAAATTTCAATATGGCGGAGTGATGTATATATGAAAGTACACATGGATGCGTTGGGTGGGAAGCGCTGGATTTGTGTTGGGGTAGGGTGTACAAGGGTATATATGATAAATAAGTGTAGTGTGAGAGGAGAGCTGAGGGTTAGATGAAGTGGGTGTCCTAAATGGCAATAGACCCCACTGCCATTAAATCCACTGAATTCTCCAGGCTTAGTTTGCCATATACCAAGGAATATAAAAATAGTCACTGAAGGGACTACATTCTAGCAAGTTCTAGAAAGAACTTGGCAGGATCTGTGCACACAAGGATGGGCTGAAAAGGAGTATCTGGGGAAATGTTCAAGAGGTGACAGCTCTGTGTTCTCCTCATACCCTGAGTTACATTGTTTTTGTTCAAAATGTGGAGTCTAAATCCATTACTCAACTCAGTACCCAGGATGGTTGCCCCCAGCAAAAGGTGACATTCATTTCTTGTTTCCTATCTGACACTTCTAACATCCTTCACACTTGCTTCAAGGATCTGCAGGAAGCCTTAAGGAGAGAGTTGTTTTGGACTCTCTAGACACGCCAGAGAACAAGATGTGGAGTGAGGGGGCTAGGGAGTTAAGATCCTGGGAGCAAGCAATCAACATGACAAATACTGGAGAGGGATGAGAGCAGACAAAGAGACCAAAATGATAGAAAAGAAATTTAAGCGAGGGAGATCAAGAGGCAAAAATAGCTACAGTTATTTTGGGCGGAGAGCCAAGGAGCTGCCTTTCCAGGGGGCAGGGAGAAGGGGGTGTCCTGAAGAACCATTAGATGGTCATTATCAGGGTTAGTCCAAAACTAGTCTTTTCCTGCTTTGTGTGGCTTTTCACACACACACAATCCAATCTCTTGGCTCCTGATATTGCTCTACTGGCAGTGTCCCTGTGAGTTAGGAGGAAAAACCAACAGGCTTCTGAGAAAACCCAATGTGAGAAAAAAATAACTTTCAAAGATAGAGACCAGAGTCCCTATCTACAAGTGCCTCCTGGGCTGTTTCTGTGACATGTCACTCTGGCAAATTGAAGACAGTTTACTTAAAGCAGGGTTTCTGTAGCAGAGCCAGACACCCTTTCTGACTTTTTATTTCTGTCATCCTATAGCCATTCTCCCTGTAATCCTGGCACAGATCGAAGGCTCGTGTTTAACTCCTTTTGCCTTGAATTCTCATCACCATCATTCCCAATTTTGCCCAGGTTCTTTTTTGAGTTTTTCTTCAGTCATGGGGCTTGAACTCAGGACTGGGACACTGTTCCTGAGTTTTTCCACAAGGCTAGTACCCTACCACTTTGAACAACAGCTCCACTTCCAGTTTTCTGGGTGGTTAATTGAGGATAAAAGTCTCACAGAACTTCCTGCTCAGGCTGACTTTGAGCTGCAATCCTCAGAACTCAGTCTCCTGAGTAATTAGGATAATAAGTATGCACCACTGGTGCTCAGCCCATGTTCTTTTTCTTGTGGCTGTCATCATTATCCTGTAACAAGCCTTTACCACTTCAGCCTGGATGGATTCTGTAACTCTAACCTAAACTGTTGGTGGCCCTTGGCAGGGGAATCTTGCATTCCCATGGACCTCACTTCAGAATGATGGAACATGAACAGCTCTGAGTTTGTCTTTCAGAGTGTGAGTAAACAAATGACATATTACCATACTTCCCAGTGTTCTCTACCTCTTAGCTTCCGGCGGGTACAGGCTAGTGGACACTCTAGCTGTCATTCTAACGACGTGGCACACACATAGAGCTCCTCCCCTGGTGTCTGTGCTTCTCCCACAGCTGCCTCCACTCTGACAGTTCTCCATCCTGTCTATAGTAAGACCATAGCCCCCATCTCCACTACCCAATCCTGCTTTGGTGCTGTATAATGCCATTCAGTGGTGCACTTGAGAGTGTAAGTAACCTGAATTCTAAGGCATGGGTAATTAGACACTCAACAAAAAGAGTTTGTGCTAGTTCTGACCAGCAGATTCCAGAACAATGATGAAGAAATGTCCATGCAGTGATATCTCATTTTGTAATTTAATATTAAATAAGTCATGATCCAGTACCATCATGGGGTGAGCACTGGGTTAACTGACACAAGGTTAAACCCTAAGTGTCTCCCCCAACCTCCACACTTATAGGTTCAGATTGGCCAAGGGCTATCTTAAGGGAGTTACAGGATGATAAACAACGGCATAATCCAAGAGGTAGATAACAAGGAAAATCAGGAAGTACTGAGGTAGGCAGTTTTGGTAACAAATATAGGGTGCCAGGAATCACAGAGAAACAGAGACTCCTCCTGTCTTTGGACAGGATTACTGCAGAAGGTCAAACACTCACACATATACAACCTGGGTTTACCACTGCTGTCATTCACACACTAGTCAAATCTACATGAGCCAGGCACAGTCCCACGGGGCGAGGGTTCTCACAGATTTGTAGTGAATGAATTAAAGGGTCCAGCATATTGATGGCTGACAAGAGAGAGAGCATTGTCAGCACAGTAGACAATGGCTCATTACATCACATAGCACCTTCACACACAAACCACTTGGGGTGACCTAGAGAAGACCAGTTCTTCATGGGGGAAGGCCTGTACAAAGCCCAGTGAGTTCATGCCTTACCTGGTGGAAAAACATCAGGTTTCCAATGAAAGGAGATGGCTTGGGATGTCTGATGCCCAACTTCTCCAGTCTTGAGAATGCTGATGTGGAATACCTGGAAGGAAGAAACAAATTTTAAAAGCTAGGAAACTGGCCAGGCACTGGTGGCTCACGCCTGTAATCCTAGCTACTCAGGAGGCTGAGATCTAAGGATCACAGTTCAAAGCCAGCTTGGGAAAGAAAGTCCATATGACTCTCATCTCCAATATACCACCAGAAAACTGGAAGTGGTGCTGTGGCTCAAGTGGTAGAGCACTAGCCTTGAGCTGAAGAGCTAAGGGACTGCACCCAGGCCCAGAGTTCAAGCCCCACAACCACCACCAACAACAACAAAAAGGGAGGAAACTGAAGATTCTGTTCATGTGTTGGCCCTATTAAGAACTGGAAGAATTGAATTCACTGGAAGTATAGAGTAAAGATAGAAGAGTAATTCCCAGTGAACACGATTAAGGAGCAGAGGGAGAGTCGTTGTGGTGTACAACAAGAGTAACAAAAAGAATAACTCAGTCAGAAATTCCTGAGTGATGAGCCAGAGACCAGCGATCTGAAAACCTCAGAGTTGGGAGATGCCTTAGGGATGAAGTAGCTTGACTGCCTCTCCCCACACCCAGAAGCCCATCATGATCTTCACAAACATATCTCATCCCAGCTCAGATTTGCCTCTATCATGAGCAATTGCTTAGAAGGCTCAGTGATGAACTGACAATTGTTTTCCATAGAAAATAATTAAATACTAGAGAAGGAGACAGAGCCTGGCACTGGTGGCTCATGCCTATAATACTAGGAGGCTGAGATCTGAGGACTGTGGTTCGAGCCAAACTGGGCAGGAAAGTCTGTGAGACTCTTATCTCCAATTATCCACCAGAAAACAGGAGGTAGAGCTACAGCTCAAAGTGATAGAGTACTAGCCTTGAACAGAAAAGCTCAAGGACAGTGCCCAAGCCCCGAGTTCAAGCCCCACAACCAACCGAAAAAATAAACTAAGGAGATGGAAGCACACCTTGGAGAGCAGACCAGACAATATCACCAACCTCTGTTAGTTCTTCCCCCGATCCCCCCTCCCCCAGCTTGCAACCATATGAGAAACAGACTTTCTTAATCAAAAACCAGGAAGTGTGGTCTGACAGACTTCCGTGCCACTTTCCAAGAGAAAGCAGCAGTACAGTATGGCTGTCAAAACATTGGAATTACTAGGATATTTCAGCAGTTTATGGGAAGAGAAGAATAACAGGAGTTAAAGCCTGGCTTAGAAAACCATGGCCATATGGCCCTGATCCCTAACCAGCCAGCCAATTAGGTCAAAAGTTCAGTTAGTTCAGAAAAATTAATGAGTCAAACTGAGTGTTTAGCATCATGCAGAGATCAGCCAAAGCACAATTTAGAGACTGGGAAAAACAACAGAGAAGAACTCCACAGACTGGCTTCTAAAGGGAACGGAACTCCACAAAACTTAGTGGTAAGAATCCACTCATTTATTACCTGCAGTCTAAGAAGCAGCACTTACAATATAGGGACATTTCTGCACATTATTAAACATTCAGACCAAGGGCAAGACAGCGTGGGTGTGGGTTTGTATTCTTCTAGGCAATGGGTCTCCATTTGCAGAGGCCATAGGAGAGAATCAAACAGGACAGAAGGGGGAAGCAGACTCCTCTGCCAGAACCACTAAGAGTTCCATCATCTGAGGACATTGTTAGGATGGAATGAATTCCCAGGACATCACACTGAAGTCCAAGTTCAAGTGTCATTACAAACCACAGCACAGCCTCCTGTGAACGATGCGGATTAGTCATGCCAACGTTCCTCTCCACGCACATGTGCACCAGCACAGTGGGCAAAAGTTACTCTTTCAAGTAGGTGATGGTATTTTAAACGATGGCCCTTATACCCAATGAGAGGGATCAAAGAAGACTTACAGCATCTCCCTTACCACCTCTCTAACAACCTCAAACCAGGAGTCTAGGTATATTTTTTCCATCAGTTTCTGTGAATTATTTTCTAAATGGAACCTCGGATAGAGTAAAAGAGAAATATGAAGATCTTGAGCCACATAATTACATCTTAATTTTTGTAATTAGATGTCTTGATTGTCTAATTAAAGGACAAGACGTCTGTGTCTAATTATACATGCTAATTATTATGCAAGCCCATGCCCTAATTATGTAACTCCACTTACAAGAACACTGCCCATGTGTCTCTGCACAAAATTCAGACATCTTTTTTCCCCCAAACATATGGCAACAGCAGAGAATGTCCTGGGCCTAACCACAGATTTTAGGGCAGAATGTGAGTGTCTTCTGCTAGGAATTGGCCAAGTATCATCACCAGTCACCAGAGTCTCACCACCCAAACCTGCCGGGGAAGATCCTCCTCACCAGGTTTACAGGCAACCTGCACAGTAAGTTCGCTTAGTCTCATTCCCACTTCCTTCCCTGCCCCCTTGTTTCATGTTCTTTGGATTCAGGTTCTTAACTCCAAATTCATGGACTCTACCTGTGATGGGTTGGTAAGTTCAAAATGATCATTTGATACTCTTAGGAAAGGAACCTAAAGGCACAATGCCTGAACTCTAGGAAATGGAAACAGAGGATTTTTATTTTATTGCTGCTTTTGTTTTCTCTTCTTTTTGTCTTGCTTGTTTATTATCTGTCTTTGGGAGGGGAAGGGAAGGAAAGCACAGAAATGAAGGGACCAAGGGTAAACAAAGGTAGCAGTGGTACTCACTAGACACTGTGTCAAAAACCAACTATACAACACATAGATAGGGATGGGAGGGAAAAAACTGGGAGAGAGTGAAGGAAGGAGCGACATTGTCCAAAAAGAAATATACTCTTTACCTGACTTATATAACTGTAACCCTTCTGTACATCACCTTTTAATAACAATAATTTTTTTAAAGACAACTTCAAAATCTAACCCTCAGGAACTTCAGAATGACCATCTTATTCAGAAATAGGGTTGTTGCAGATGTAATTAGCTAAGATGAAGTCATATGGAAGTAGAGCATATGTCTAATGCAGTGGCAAAGGTCTTTCTAAGAAGACGCTCTGGAGAAGACAAGACACACGGAGGACACCAAGCAACTATGAAGGCAGCAAGAGGAATAACTGTCTGCAACCAGCTAGGGGAAGCCAAGGAAGGAACAGGATCAGGGTATGTGTGGCCTTGCTGACACCTAGATTTCTTGGCTTTCCAGACACGTCTGGAAACTGATCCTAGGGATACTTATGATTGAGTTTTAGAGAGTCAGTGAAAAACCTTAATGTTTTTTCCTCCTGTTACTTTAAAAATCACCATTGTAAAACGAGTTTCTCTTTTATGTCACTAAGTTCGTTGTCATCCAAAAATGTACAGGTGGTGTGGGATGCAACTGGGAAAAGCAGGTAATGTACAATCATCCTCGATCAGCATGGTGTGATATTTAGAACAGCTTTCCTTTGACAGGAATTAATGCAAATGAATCCTACAATTATGATTATGGACATCTGTCATTGTTTACATTAAGGATACTGAAGTTGGAATATGACAACAAAAAGCAGATATAGCTTCAGAGAGCATTCTTTGGTTTTATTTTCACAGTGAAGGCAGTCATTAAATGCTAGAGGAGATAAATCCTGCCATGCCGGTGGTGATACTTATTCTGTCCCTTCTCATAATAAATTAAACCATATGCACCGTCTTCAACACAAGGCTCAAATGGTAAAGCTGGGAATGTTCTCAATATTTCAGTTTCCTCAGGACAAATGCCCTATTTTGATCTCACATAGGTATGTAGCATGTTGTTTAATCAAAGTAGCCACTCAGAATAAATTGGGGATATGTTGAAGAATCATTAAAGAGGCCCAAATGGATTGACATTTGGAGCAAAAGAAGCATTCCAAGACTAGCTTGTCCTACAGGATTATCCTCACAGCATGTCTTACGCAGCCTTAGAGGAATTGGTCTGTCCTCTAGTATGTGCCTGAGTGCAGCCAGCTCCTTGGTTCATTCATTCCATTTTCATGATTACTAGCAAATAATTTCTCCATGGTTAGCTGCTTTAGGAAGTTCCAGAGGTAGTTGATGTCTTTGAAGTGGAAAGTACTCTTGGAAAAAAGAGCTGCTCCTGGAGTAACAGTTGTGAGGCTCCAAGACGAGGTGAAGCAAAGGATGCCAGCAACACATCTACCCTGCCCTTCAGAGAAGAGCAACCCACTGTCATTCTATAGACAGTGGTGGGCACAAGTGGAAGCTTCATCCGGGAGTGTTAAACTATTGTGTGTTCAAAAGGTTTTGATAGGGGGTTGGGAGCAGAAGATGAGGTTTACTGGCTCTCCAGAAAGTAAATCTTGAAGCATGAGACAGACCTTGGGGCAAGAAAGCTAAAGTATAGTCTACTTTCCCTGAGTCTTTCTGGTTAGTTTTTCTGTGTATTGTATACATTTGAGACTACATACTCCATAATTTTTCTAGTTTTATTTCTCTACATTAATTATCATGGATATGATTCATGGCTATATATTACGTTCACAGACACACCTGAAATTCACGTCACTATTTTAAACATAGGTACAAAATGCCAAATACTTTACAGAAAGTTTTCCCTGTTTAGTCCCACTGTCTCATACTTACTTCATCAGTCTTGTAAGGTTATTTTTTCCTAATTTGGTGGATCAATATATCTTGATTTCTGCATTTCTTTCATTACTCAGGAAAAAGAATATGTTTTGCTATACCTTCTTCAGCATTAAAAAAAAAACTTCCCCAATGTTGAAATTCTTTTTCCTTTCTTCCTTTCCTCCTCTTCCTCTCCCTACTTTATTCTCTATTCTCCCTCTCCTCCTGCTTTGTCTAACTCTTACAATTGTTTATCTAGGTGTTGGGCAGAATAGTGCTACAATAGCTGTGTATAAAGAATTCACTTGGGGACTGGGTGAGGTGTTGCACATCTGTATTGTGAGACCCTAGCTGATCAACTAAAAGCAAAAGGACTGGATTCAAGTGATAGAGCACATGACTATTAAGAGGGAGAGGGAGAGAGAGAGGAAAAGGAGGGGAGAGGGAGAAGGAGAAGGG